CATAAAATGATTCAGTATACACACACACACATATGGAAGAACAACCTAAAAGAATTTTGATTGAAGAGACTTAGGAAAAACTAGTATTTCAATGTGTTTCCCAAGACAGTTATAAAGATACAGCTGTAATTTACATAGCAGGAGCCCAATTGCTCTCAATTTTCTAAACAACTACAAAAGAGTTACAAATAAATTACAACAGATATTCTATGAAAATTTATATCCATTAAAACTGTGTATAGAGTCCAAGGTGGTCCACATTCTCCAGAAGTCAGAGATCATGGGAGCCTAGCATCCTCATTATCCACACCAGGGACTCCAGGCCTTCCCATGATGCTGGAGAGGGCAGTTCCAGTATTGGCTCCACTTCACCAAGGTGCCCAATCTCTTTCTCTCTTAACCGTACTTCCAGCCAGGGTTTGGGCCATATAACAAAGCACATCATTGTATTCTCCACATGAGAATTTTAATTCAAGGAAACAAACATATAAGAAATTATTTCCCACAAATAACTAAAACAACAGACTTATCAACAGAAAAGGGAAAAAGAAGATGACAAAGAACATGCTCATCAATCTGGGAAGCAAGCAAGAACAGTGTTTTTCAAATGTTTACAATAAGCTATGGCATAAAAGTTTTTCAAATTAATTTCAGATTCCTCCAACCATCTATTGGAATTAAATTTTTAAGTAATTTCTCTAATAGAATTCCATTTTCTTTATCCATCCGTATCTAAGACAGGTAAACTATTCCTTGTAGTGATAGGTACGTTTAAAATAAAAATTATAGCATGTAGTAATATTATGCAAAAGTATAAACATAACAAATCACTTAGTTGATTTTTCTCTAAACACTTTTGTCAAACATGACATATTGTTGAATACTGTGGTGAGTACATGTCTTTATGAACTGATGCAACTGTCTAAAACAGAAATTTCTCTAAAACAAGAAAACACCAAAGTAAATTTCATTAAATTAGCTGATATTCATGGTTTGAAAAGCTCCTTCAGACAATATTTTACAATGGAGTGAAAATATAAACTTCTGAATGAAAACAATTTACATTAGTTAAGGCACATCTGGACACCTCCAGGCATTCATACTATAACTACATTATTACTAACTTCAGTAATCAAGGATGTCTAAAAACATGATCTGTTCCTGAACACAATCTGCTGGGTAGGTTGGATAACTAGATAGGGAGGAGGCCGGTAGTACTCACTGTCACCCTAGAGACTACCCACACAAATCTGTTCATGCTATGAACAGTACAGCATCCACAGCTGAGAAAACTCAGGAAATACACATTCCTAATTTTCTACATCCTACACTGACCCCAGACATCTTTTCCTCAACTGTGTCTATAATTGAAAGGATTTTAGCATGTCCAACTCAGCCTAGCTATAATCGTTCCCCAAAAGAGAAAGGGGAGTCTTCTAAGCTTGAAACAAAATAGAAATTTTCAAAACCATTCCTATAATGAAGGATACCCACTCACTCCAAAAAGACATGAAAGACCCATAGATGCAACTATAACCAAACTAAGACCAAGAATATCCTCCTTTGCTAAGGTTAGAAAATAATGAGACTCAAACATAGTAATAAACCAATTTGATTTTGTTACTCAGTGAATTAAAAGCTCAACTATGATTCTACTATAAACTTGAAAATTTTAGCTATAATATAATTAACCAAATAGCCTCTCTATTCATCAGTTCGATTAGTTTTTAACCACTTAATATGGAAAGTTACTTACTAAATTTACTTAAAGAGTAACATGTTGTTGTTATGTGCAGTCGAGTGGGACCGACTCATAGTGACCCCTCCTTGGGTTGCCGAGACAGTATCATTAAGGAAGTAGCTTGCCCCATCTTCCTACTGAGAAACATAGATACATTGTTTTTCCCCTTTTTGACCAGATCATACTTTTAATTCTAATTACAGAATAAAATCTAAAAGCAGAGTAGATGATTTGCATGGCAAAATGTGAAACAATGTCTGCAATAGGTATCATGCCGTGTTCCCAGGTTTACATTAATAGCAAAACTCTTAGAAGTTCCCTAATAGCTCCTGAGTTTTAGGTTTTATTTTCTTCTTGAAGCTGAAATAAGTCTCAAAACAGAAATTCAAACTAAAACTATACAAAAATAATTTTTGAACTGAGAACTAAATTTGATTAAGAGAAAGACATATTTTCACTTCTATTATACTACTTTAGAGTTTCCTTATGAGGTTAAGCATGAAAAATGTACAATGATACAATATTTTTAATGTTATAAACTTTTTCTCTACCGTACAGAAATAGATCTTATAATTATATATCACTTTACAGTATTTCAAAATATTTTCACATATATTATCTCTTTAGAGATATGAAAGCACAAAATATTAGAAATGGACTAGACTAATCAAGCACTATAACATCTATTGCAAATAAATTACAGCTTGCATGAAATGCAAGTTAATCTTTTATTAATAGCCAATATTTAGTATCCTTGCAGTCCATGGTACAATACAGACTATATATTGCAAAGACTCAATAATGTTTCCAGCTATTTAAACATGCTTCACCGCATTTTTTAACAGCTTCTCAGTAAATTTCTGCAAGCATATGGTAGTTTTTAAAAATACAAAATATTGGAGTCAAACCCAGGGGGCTATTTCTTATCTAAGACACAAATACATATCCACAGATCTTATTTAAAAAACTATTAAATGTACAAAGTATTCTTAATAGAAAGAAAAATTTTAGACACATGATTTTTATCTGTAAAAGGAATGATAGCCTTTTGCTTGTTCTCTGCTGAATAATTCTCTCATGTTATTTACAAATTAAATGTAGAAGACATACTGTTACATATGAATATGCATTTAAAAAACACCATGATGGAAAAAGGCCACTATTTTAGATGGAAGCCAGGCAGTTTTCCTCTTGAGACTAAATATTCTCAAATTAAATGGCATAATATAATTAAACCCTCATTTAGGAATAATATCCTAAACCTTAAATTGTTGATTTTTTTTTTTTTCACTTGTAAGGGATATACTATAATTTCTAAATAAGTCAATGTATACTCATTTGTTTTACTATTTGGTCACTATTTATTAATATTTTCATACCTGGTCATATATTATTAATATTAAGCTTCTAGAAAGTGATCTGAAAACTTTAGCATGTATGCAAAATTGACAAGATATTTTGAATCAAGTTAATTGTATTCCTACAATTCAGCCTAATGCAACAACTTACTACCATCCCCTAAACTCTTATTATCTACTGAGCTCTATGAGAGAGTGCTAGAACAATCACCACATAAGAGGGTCTGTGTATTTCTTGCATGCAAAAATAAACAAACAAATAAAATTCCAAAGCAGAATTATTTCCCCAAACCTAGTACTAACTTCATGAAATGGTGGAAAGCAAAGATTGGCACAGTACAAAACCAAAACCAAACTCACTGCCATCGAGTTGATTCTGAGGCAGTAAATCTTTATGAAAGCAGATTGCCCAATCTTCCTTCCACGGAGGGCTGGTGAGTTTGAACTACCAACCTTCTGGTTAGCAGTCAAATGCCTTAGGCACTATGCCACTAGAATTTCTGGTACATTACAGAAACTAAAAATAAGATTCTATTTTGTACTTACTGAAACATGATATACAACATGAGTGTTATTACCATTCATATAAAAAATTAAGGGTTAAGCAATATGATGTTTCAGATTAACTTCAAAGCAATAAAATGGTATTTTATAGGGCATACACTCAGTGGGTTTATTTTCTAGAAATTCACTGATGAAAATGGATCAATAGAAGCAACAGAAGATGCTATGAAATGACACAAAAAGGAATGTATTAAAAAATTCTTTGGGGGTTAAAGTGAAAAGAACCTTCTCAAAAGCCTAAGAGAGACATAAAAACCAACTCCTTTCTAAATGAAATAAAGGAAAACTATTTTATTTGTTATTTTAACTACATTTATATGTATAGTCTGAAATTCTCAGCAAATGTTTCTGGTTGTTTTGTGATCTGTAATGATAACTAGTAATAATAGTATAAGAAGCAAACATTTCTTTTTAAACAATGTTAAGTCATATTAAATGCTGATCAAAACTAAGTATATGGAATTTCAAATCTGTCTCAGTTTTAAAGTTTGCCAATTTAGCAAAGTATCAAATTGTATTAAAAAAAGATATACTGTAGATTAAAAATGTTATTAATCTCATAATCTATATAATAGTGAGATACTAATGGTTTTAGTGACCACTGTCTTATTGCCGATGCAAGAGGCATGCTTTTGAAAAATGAGTAATCCCTTTGTTACTTTTTAATTCTACAGTCATTTGCATTCAGAGTCAAGCAGCATATGTACATGGAACAGCCATAGAAAGCATAATTGTTTTCTGGGACTTTTGCATCAAAATTTGTTTTAAGCACTTAATATAGAAACACATTTTTATTATTTTAAACAAGGCAAATTCTTGAAATCATACTTAAAGTCCACCTCTGTTCCATTTCAATTTCAATACAGATTATCCTAATGTACACTAGAATAATGTACACTAGAAGTACACATCCTCATGTATGCTAGAAATGTACATGCTAGCTGACAAAGATGGCAATATGAGGGTTAGCAGAGAGAGGAGAAGTGAAAAAGTCAGTGGGGCTGACAGATGGGGTAGGGGGGTCATAGCTCCCCAAAAACATCCATTTTAATTTATCAGAACTTAGTAATAATAATTTTTTAAAAAAATGGTGTTGAATCAAATAATCCAAATGGCTATTCTGAATTTTCCAGCTAAAAAATATAAATCTGTAAATCAGGCAGAGGTTGCATAAATTTAATGAAATTATTCTTTGATTTTACTCACGTAGAGTGTAACTTCTCAGAAACAAAATGTACTTGATACATCATACTACGTGATTGCTTTCAGATACTCTGAAAATAATTCAAAAGTAATCATTCTGTATAGAACTTGAAAACTCACATCCTGAAAGCATCACAGAACACATTCATTTATTTAATCTTAAGACTTCTCATCAAATATTAAATTCATTTTCATTCAAAATGAAAAACAAACAAAAAAATGCTTACAACATAAATCAAAAACAGATGACTAAATTTTGAAATTTGACCTTGTTTCTGTTTTTCAGGGCAAATTCTACATTTTTCCCCCTCCTTACCTAAAAGGGTTTGTGGGTTTTCTGATAATTCACTGTAGTAATGTATCATCATGGGAACTTGTATTTCCAGGATTATCACTGTTTTTGCTACGATTTTCACCCTCTTCATCATTTTCAAAAGGGGAGACAGTCTCTTTTTTCTCTACAAGACTGTTAACTGTTTTTTCTGGCTGAGAATTAGAATTTTCACCATTACAGTCCTTCTCACTGTTTCGTGGCTTGGCAGCTTCATCGCTGGGCTCTGCTCTGGGCCTATCTGTCTCTTCTGCAAGCTCTTTAGGTACCACTTTCTTTTCTTCTGAAGTTTTGCTATTTAAATGAACAGCTGAGGAGGAATTTTTGGACTCCTTGGACTTTTTGTGCATAGAAGTTTGACTGTTATTACCAGAGTGGGGAGGGGTGGGCACTTTGGGGGCTTTGCTTCCCTCTGACTGTTCTTTCCGAGGCGGCCCCCAGATAAAATTCTCTGAAGGCGTGTAATGTTTCTGCGCAAACCGGAGCAGCTTTCTCCTCTCTCTTCTGTCTCTAATTGTATAAACAAAGTACTCCAAAGCACTCTGCTTAATATTGGGAATAGTATTCTCCACAAGAGCCTCATGAAGGATAAATTTTACAAGAGGAGACTTAAAACTTTCATATCCAAGCTCGCCAAGGCTCTTAAGAATCCGGGTGATTCTTAAATAGTTGTGCTGGGACCTGGAAGAGAGGATCGAATAAAATGAGGGTCTAAGAAAGTCAGGTGGAGGAAAACAGAAATGAAAATTATTTTTTTATGGAACTGGAAGCCATGGAAATATGCCTTGGAATGACTTCTATTTAAAAGTCAAATTAGAAACCATTAAGAAGATGAATAAATTAGGAAGTATTTATACCTCAATTTGCTGTCAATGTATGTGAAACCTAAACATGCAATATATATTCCCTGTGTTTGTTGAGTTCTTTATATTAGCGGAATATTTAGAATAAAATTTCTTACTAGTGATGTTGAATTATTATTTGTTTATTAAGTACCCTGATGATGAATAATCTCATAGACCATTTATTTACAACACCACCAATGTATAGTACCCATCACTGGTAACCAGTGCTGAATATAAACATATCTAGCAGTTGAACACTTGGATTTGCAGCCAACTTAAAATGAAAGCAGCAAAAACACTCTACCTGCTAGAACAGTTATGACAAAGGATGTAAAACTGACTTATTTAGAACAGCATGGCTTCTAAGAATGGTTGCTAACTGAAAGGTCAGCAGTTTGAACCCACCAACTGCTCCACAAGAGGAAAGACCTGGTCAACTGCTCATGTAAGGATTCCCACTGCCATCAAATGGAATACAACTCATAGTGACCCCCACTGGGTTTCCAAGGTTGTAGACCTTTATGAAAGCGGATTGCCTCATCTTTGTCCAGCAGAGAAGCTGGTGAGTTTGAACTGCAGACCTTCTGGTTAGAGACTAAATGCCTTACACATTAACGTCACCAAAGATCCTTCCTGTAAAGATTACAGCCTAGGAAACCCTACGGGGAAGTTCTACTCTTTCAGAACTACAGGGTCACTATGAGTTGGAATCAACTCGAAAGGACACAACAACAACAACAGTTTAATACTTAAGAGCATGAGCTTTGGAGTCAGACCTGAGGTCATACCCTGTCTCTACCTCTTACAAGCTATTTAAAATTATGAACTCTCTCCAAGCCTCAGTATCCTCATCTGTAAAATGGGGGAAATGGCTCACACATGACTGAACAGTTATAAGAATCAAATAAGATGATGTCTATGTAGGGCATGTAAATATTATTTTAAATTATTAAAAAGTAAATATAATTTAAAATTATTACTATTAGTCATATTGTTATTATGCAAAAATTTCATATTAATGACCATTTGTACCTATACCAATTTAACCTAATTCTCTTCCATCCCTAGCCACTCTCTTCTCCTTGTCCTATCCAATAATTTTAAATTTTAAATTGTTATTTAAATAGAATTATTTCCAATGGTCTTGACTCTAGACTATCTTTTTTTCTGACACTGCACTAACATCTTTCTTCTCTGTCTCAAAATTCAGACTATTGTCAAATGAATGCTTTCCAAATCTGTTTTGGCACAATTCATAATCTTCTTACTCAGCTCAATCTTTGCCTTATTACACATGCCTGGTCATATCCTGAAGGGATCTTCAACTACATATATTCATCATGGGTGTCATCAACAATCCAGGTATTTATTTTATCCAATTTTACCATACAACCTTAATGCTGTCTTTTTTTTTTTTTTTTTGTAACTAACTAGTGAACCAGCTGCCATTGAGTCATTTGTGATTCATGGTGATGCCTGCCGTGGTTTCCAAAAGTTCTTGGAATATTTTTATTAGGAATAACCAGCAGGTTATTTGAGAAAGAAGAAGGATGTTGATGAATTATTTGAGGGAAGGAAGGAGGCAGTTCCATGGTCTTATGTTGTAATAAGAGAGTTTGTCTGGACAAAACAAAAACCTTAATGATTCAGGCTAACCAAACCCTGAGAAGACAAGTCCAGCAGTTTTTATAATCTCCATGTCTGTGTATACTTACAAAAAAAGTATTAACTTAATATTCAACTTTTTGAAGGCTGAAAGGTAAAAACAGCACAGACACAGACAGGTTTCCATTTTATGAATCTGTACTTTTTTTAATAGGAGGTAAGAATCTTTGGAAACAATGCAAATTTGGGTGAAGACAATGTACCATAAAAGCAGGATTAATTTAGGTCATTACGGAGATTGTATACTCTAAAAATACAGCAACCAAACTCTTGGACAATGTCTGTTTCTTAAGTCTATGAAAAAGGAGTATGTGGAAAGGTGGAAGAATGTTTTTAAAAATTATATGCCAAAACAAAATTTACTATATTTGAACCACTTCGATGTCATATATCCAATCACAGATGAATAGTCAAGTTGAAAGTTTTGTATGCATTTAGCAGTATCTATACACTCTCCAATTTATAATATTTTTGTAACAGTAGAAAAGGACATAAACATGGGTTTGAAGAGTGGTAGTCAAGATTCTGGAACAAAACTATGGAAGAAAGCAATTGAGTGTTTCAGTATGTCTTCCATTTTACCCTACCATATAATTATAAATGTAACAATGAAAGATAAAATGGAAGTAGGGTAAAAGTGGATAAACCTTCCAAATGCTGTGAGCAGTTTTCAGAATTTCCAGCAGATGAAAGAAATAGGCTAGGCTTTCAAGTAGAGGCAAGGGCAGTAAATAGGCCTAAAGTTGTCAGGAAGATGGAATAGATGAAGAGAGAAATCACAAAGGTAAGGACCAAGAAGACAGGAAAGAAAAGAACGAATTCTAGGGTGTAAAATACAGGTCAGCATCCAAGTTGATAACAAATAAAATTGGAAATATATCATAGTGGCTGATCTATAATATATAGTCTCATGTTTGAAAATATTGCACCTCTTGTAGCTATGGTCACTAGTTCACTGAAGATTATTTCATTTCACTTTGATTCAATTTTTTTCCTCTCCTGGGATACTATAAATACACTGTGTTCCTTTCTACTCTAAAAGACTCAAGATCCAGTACAGATTAAAACACAAATAAGTTATGACATGTACAGATAAATCAAAAAAGAGCCAACTGAAGAAAGAAAATGGCATAGAAGTTTTCATATAACCTTCTATAATTTGTTCAAATCTAGTCAATAAATATAAATTTTTGGCAACTAAACCAGAAAAGAAACATGTTTTCTGGCAGATTCTAAGTCAGTGGGCAGTTCATTTACAGTTGGGAAAGGTCTATATAATACCCAGGGAAAGGAAAAAACAAAGATGATGGGTGGTAGAAAGAAAGGGAGCTAGGTAGGGCAGAGGGATGAGAAGTGTCTGTTAGTTCACACTCCTCTCGTCTGACTCAAGCCAGCAGATCCTTTAATTAGACCCTTCAGAAAAGGCTGTTTTCAGCTATAAATCAAAGGAGCTGACAATAAAACCCTAAGGAAGCTATAAGCTAATAATTATTTTTTGTTCAATCATTTATTAATTCAACAAACTTTCACTATTGTTACTATTTGTTATTCCAAGCAAATAAACCAAGTTAGAGAAACATATTCTAAAAATGACAGTTGTGAGTATATGGAAGATGAGGTACTATTAGACCCTCATCAAAGATTTACTGCTACTTTTGCCAACCTTCACGTCAATACGCTATGTGAATAGCGCTTTCTTTGACAGTGTGACAGAAGCGCTTAGAAACTTTATCTAGAAATAGCTACCTATATTGCTTAAGCAGAGGCGTATATACTTCAGCCTTAAGTGCTCTATATAAATCAAATTTAACCTGAGTTATGAGTTAATGGGTCTTCTGGTTAGCATCATAAAGCTTTATGCCCCTACCTTCAGAATTTGAGTACAAGGTACCATTAATTGTATTTATTGCTAATAAAGTAAAAGGAAGGCTTAAACATTAATACTTATACTCATTTTACCAACGTAAATGAAAGGTCTTGAAAGACACAAAAAACTTAGTTTACTGATGTGTAAAACTTTGAAATATTTTAGGCAAAGAGTAAAAGCTTAGGTTAGTTTTTATTTTTTACTCTTAGTACTTGCCCAGTTGAGCTAATTATAACATGCTAAAAAGTGCTGTAAAGCTGTTGGTTTATAGTCCAGCATTTATAATTCACCCTATAATTAAAAAGGAAAAACAAACAAAAAAACCAGTTTGTATGCAACAGAAATATTAAGAAAAATAGACTTTGGCTGTAAGTATAATGAATGTTATAAATAGCCAACAAAAGAATAAAGCAAACCAATTCCAAATAAACAACGTTAGAAATTTTATCATAGGATTTTGTATTTCTTAACCAAAAATGAGCTTTTGTTTTTGACCTAAATAGCAAAGACACTTTAAATTTTCTCTCCACATTAGTAAAATATACATGCAATATCTGCCTTATAAAATGATTTTTATACATCATAGATTTAATTCATGGATTTAATCCAAGAATGCTATGCTTGGGGATGTTAAAAACAGAATGTATGCCCAAGAAGTTTATAAAACAGTAGAGGGAAATGGAAAAACTTTATACAAGCAGTAACAATAAATGCCAAAGACAGTGGTATAAAAAGGGAAAGAGGCCACAGTGGCTGTGGGCAACTGAGAAATTTCAGGAAGAAACAGCTTTGAAGCTGAATGGCTGTGTTTCTACTTGAAATTTCTTTCTTTTCTGTCATTGTTTTGTTTCAGAATGCAGACCAGGGGCAAAATTTTAGGTTAGCTTTTGAGTCCAAATACCTGGGTCCATCTGCTCTTTGTTGCTGTGTTCCACAGAGAATTGTGGCCAAGGGAAAAATAGCACGGAAGGACCCTCAGTTTATCGCTGAGGCTTTACTTACTCATTCAGATGCTGGAACCTTTCCTGCCAGTTAACAGCCCGGGCCACGTTTCCAGTTTTATCAATCAGTTTTATTCCAAAAAATTCTAACATCATTTTATAAGCCAGAAGGAATCTTCTAATTGCTTCTTTTGTCTTTTTGAATTCCTAATGGGAGAAGAAAAAAAAAAAATGTCAGCTGAAACCATTTAGTAGCTACCAAGCCAGTGAAGTGGCAATATTTATTTTGCCATCTCATACAAAATGAAATAAGTTTGTATTACCTCAATTTCATATGTAGTTAGTTCTTTAGCATAAAAATTCAAGCCTTGTTCTCTCAGGGGAAAAAGCCTATTATTTTAAAAAATGAAATTTTTATGTTAGTGTGTCTGGAACACATGCATGATTAAGTAGGATATGGTTCAAAGCAGATCATATATAACTCACCACTGAATGTAAGTATGGTTGTGTTCCAGTTTTTCATAATCTCCTTTCCACTTATTTAGGACTTCTTCAATGTAAACACCTACATAATAAATATTTAGAAAATGAGTGAGAAATTTAAAACATTTTGAAAGCATTTTAAGATTTCAATCACTTAAGGTTTCTATTAAAACTTATATAAATTTAATAACAGCACACAAAAATAATGACTTAAAGAGATAAATACCTTCTGTCACAGTTAGTTATGTAATAAGCCTACTTTAAAAGTAATTAATGGCATCTCAAATTGCAGAAAGTCCTGTTAGACAGTATTACTCTTCAGCAGAGGTTGGCAAATTATGGCCCATTCCTGTTGTAAATAAAGGTTTTTTTGGAATACAACCATACACATTCATTTACACATCATCTACAGCTGCTTTGGGAGCTCTGGTAGCACAGTGCCTAAGGTACTTGACTGCTAACAACCAGGAAGCTGGAGGCTCAAACCCACTAGCCACTCCTCAGAAGGAAGGTTGGGCAATGTACTTCCGTAGTGATACTGCCTCAGAAACCCAAGGAGGGGTCGCTATGAGTTGGGTCCTACTTGATGGCACATAACTACATCATGGCTGCTTTCAAACTACATCAGCAGAAGAGCATAGTTGCGACAGAGACTATGTGCGCCATAAAACTGAAAGTATTTTGCTACATGGCCCTGTGCAGAAAAAGTCTGCTGATCCTTATTAGACTAAGAATACTCTAGTAAAGAGTACAGGATGAAAATATACTCCAGGGAGGAAGGAAGGAAGAGAAGAAGGGAGAAAGAGAAAAAAAAAGAAAGGGAAAGAGAAAAGCAGAGAGGGAAAAAGAAATGACAAGGAAGTTGTTGAGTACCTGCTATATGCAGGCCCATTTTATACACAGTATACATCATCCAGCTTAATCCTCACAGAGCCCTCCACACCAGTGTTATTATCTCTATTTCACTAATGAGAAAATTGTGTGATTTGCTCAAAGTCAAACACAAATACAAGAATAAATCTAGGAGTAGAACACAGGTCTTTCTGGATCCACATAATATGCCCTTTTACGCCATACTTCATTATAACAAAATTCTTAAATCTGTCCAAAAAAAAGAAAAAAAAAAAAAACTTAGTTGATTATGACTCATAGCAACTCTATAGGACAGAGTAGAACTGCCCCATTAGGTTTCCAAGGCTGTAAATCTTTATGGAAGCAGACTGCCTCATCTTTGTCCTATAGAATGGCTGATGGGTTTGAACCACCAGTCCTTTGGTTAGCAGCCAAATGCTTTAATCACTGCACCACCAGAACACTTCTTAAGTCTGTTCAGGTCTTCACAACTGACTATGTGGCCATTTAGTCAATCTTATTAAAAATGATACAATAACATTATATTTCTCTAAACATAACTCATTGCGATCGGTTTCTTCCAGAGATTACTATTTTGTATAGAGTGTCACTTTCAAAAATTTTGATAATAAGTTTTTTTGGTTTTTTTTTTTTTGAGTCATACCAGTACGACTTGCCATTGAGTCAATGCCAACTCATGGCAACCCTGTGTATGTCAGAATAGAACTATGTTCTACAGCTTTTTCAATAGCTGATTTTTTAAGTAAATCATCAGGCCTTTCTTCTGAAGCCCCTCTAGGTGGTATCGAACCTCCAACTTTTTGGTTAGCAGCCAAGTTTGTTAACTGTTTGTACCATCCACGAACTCCTTTCTGAATCATGCTATTGGCTAAATCAACACATTGAAACTATTTCTAGCCATAGTTTTGAATTTGTTTTTCTCTCCAACTACCCCTCCACCTACTTAAAAAGTAAAATATGCCATTGCAAGCCTCTGCTTACTTATAAGTGTGTATACATGTATATATAATGGGAAAGGAGGTATGAGAGTTGATGTAATATATATAATAAGAGCTAGGATAAGATTTTATGTGACCTTAGCTAAAACTCCTGACCCCTCTCCAATCTTACAAGAATTCAAAATAAACTTGTGATAAGGATTACAAAGGATATATATATCGCTCAACTTGCTGTTTTAAATAACTACCTGAAAATAAATTCAATATGATTAACACAAAAATAAGTGAGTTTTTTAAATACTGACTTATCTTAGTTTAATACTTTTAATAGTTGAAGGTATTCTTTAGATAAATTTTATAAAATTCAAATTAGAGTCCAATTAACAATTAATCATTATATTTCTTAAAAGGTTTTCTTACCCCAAGTCCTCAAAAAAATGATGATTTAATTAGTATTATTTCCATTAGCAAATAAAGTAAAATGTCTGTATCATGAGTCAATCAGCAGTGCATTTTTATCCAGAGATTTCCCTCCAAATCAGAGCAGAACTTTTGGGACACCAGAAAGTTAATTAAAGACAAGTGGATCTGGCCACTTCAACAATGATTTTAAGTTATAACTTCCAACTGGGGCATGTTTCAGAACACAGTGCAGGGAATTCCTCCTCTCAACAATCCACTCAGTCTTTAAATCTCCTTCCTCCAGTTAGTTCAACAAAGAAGGCAAGGTCCTGCCACTCTCAAAGCTTTGAAATCCATGAATTGCATTCCCTGATTCACACTGCTATGTATTTGGCTCAGTTTCCACTGAGCGCAAAGAGCAGGCACCAGGGCCCTCTAGTCACATCACTACAGTTAGAGGCTATTTGGGGCTCTTTGAATAGAAACCAGCTTTGCTGGTTTGACCTCGATGAACTTAGGATGCCCACCACAGCTTGGGTCCTCAATTAAATATGCCATTTTGAAGATATATTACCATAGCAGCTATATTCCCTCACTGTGTATGGATTTAGAAAAGATCTTAAGAGGGCAATTATAGGGTTATGAAGGAGAAGGCAAGTTTATTTGGAAGAGCTAAAGTGAATTCTACTGGCTCTGTAGTTCCTTTCATGGGACATTGCAACATGGAACTGGGTCTGCTCTTGCTTCCCAACTCCTGAATATGGAAACAGAAATGAAAAATAAATCTAAATTTAAGTCTCACTTTCTAAATACTTTTGGGGTATGACACATTGCATTCTAGAACCCAGACCTAACACTAGAATCAACTGAGTGACCCAGCAAGTTAATTATTTAAGGTTCAAGTCCTAGTTACTGCATCTTTAAAATGAGAAAGCTGAATTCAATCTCCTCTACTGTTCCTTAATCTAACACTTTACGGTTCTATAAATCTCTCTTTTCCTCTCACAAAAGTTGCCGTCACTGTCTCTCAGATAACTGCCACAATAAACAGATGATAGGAAGTTATTTCTAATCAGTAGCCATTCTTCCAGAGTTTGTGATATGGTTGCTCACAATTTTAGGGTCTAGAACGTTAGGGACACTTTCAACTGCACAGCAAAGTTAAGGCAATCAGTGGAGGTATGCATTAAGAATGTACTGACCATGGTATAAACATTGAATAACCAGGTGCATGTTATTACTGAAAATTTGTTTGGGTTATTGGTTTTTACCAACGTAGCAGATTACTCACCATCTGGCTTAAATGGAATTTTATTCTTATAAAAACGAAGATTGCTCAAGTCATTTTGATATCGGATATCTTTGAAGTTCTGCTAAAGGAAAAAATAAATCAATCTCCAGCACATAGACATTTAGAAAAGGAACAAGGACCCTTCTTGCATGTTTGCTCATTGGTCAAAAAATAAGGAAAACAGAGGGAACGAGTTTAAATTTTAGGGAAAAAAAAAACATTCAATACTCTTACTGGGTACTGGTGTCGGTATTTGTACAAATCTCTCGCTGCATAAAAGCTTCTCTTTGGTTTGGCAGCTGCTTCAATGGAATCACCACCCTGAAATGAAAAGTGAAAGTCCATTTCCATGCTGAAGCAAGGTAATGCCAATGAGAAACTTCTAGAACAAAATTAAAATCATGAATGTCACAGAAGAAAATCTGAAAACTGTCAAGCTATTCAGATATATGAAAATGTTATAAAAATCCCTTTACCACTGCTTACTAGCAATATTAGTGGGCATTCTATTATCCCGAATTGAAACCATGACCATTTTCCTAAGGGATATTACTAAATTTAAAACCTTATTTACAAAAAGCTTAAATAGATTAAGTGTTATGGATCAACATCCGTAAGAAACAGAACTCAAAATTAATTGCGGCCATGTATTTTACCACAGTTTATACAACTGGTTCTATGAAAAAAACTTATTTAGGACACTTCACGTAATTCTAAAAATGTGTTAAGAAAATAAATCAATTCTACAAAGAAAATTGTCATTACATTTGTAATATCTATCTGTACTTGGAAGTCAAGTAATATTTATGAAAGGAAAGAGTCCTTCTTTTTAAGCAAAGTAAATAGTTTTCTAAGCTCCATTCTTTACAATACTATAACAAGAAGTATGCAAAGGCATGAATAATCCTCTACTCATTCAGTAATAATACAATGTAATACAAATCAGCAAAGTGAAAACATGTACACACAAAGCAGTAAAAAGCTCTCAAGTGGAATAAACTTCAAATTTAAGTAATTTATATGTGGCAGTTTACTCATGCTATTTAAACTCTAAGCAAAATTCTCACTACCATTAAGTTACTTTTAAAATATAAGATGCAGATTAATATGATCTACTTATGTTCTCTAATTATATGAATGATTATAATGTGTGAGAAAGCGTTTGGTATCCAGTGTTATGCAGAAGGACAATGAAACTGATGAAGAAAAAGAAGACAAAGTTTAGACTTGAATATTCATTAAGAGCTTTCACCCCAAATCCTCTCCTCAGCATCCCCCGCCCCCATCTGTGTTGACAGACTGGCATCCTCTAAAGCAATTTTCGCACATTTTTGAAGTGGTGTGATCCTCACTATTACTACAAGTACCGAGACACATTAACACCAAATGCTCTGATGCTGAACATTACTTACTCTGTCATGTTACATAAGCAAGGACGAGCTTAAATTCTGGTCCTTGCCACACGTTTCAAAATAGCTCTGCCTACCAAGTTTCTGAATCTGTTTAGCCTGAGCTACAATCATATGAATCATCATCTTACGTTTGTATAGAAACCCCTTCTCCATTTACAAAGCACTCAGATGTATATTATTTGATTCCTGTAACACACCTGGTTGGCAGTTATTACTGTATCCGTTTTAGAGACAAGGTAACAGAGGCTTGGTAATGTTAAACTAAGACCCAATGACAGCACAGGAGCTAGAATCTGAGGCTGCATGAAAAGTGAATGACCACTGTAGAAATGTTGGTATCATGTCAACAGCACAAGACTTATAGTCAGGAGACTTGACCCAACTCTTGACTATGCTACTTAGTATTTGTGTGGCCTCCTCCATGGGAGAAAAGACCTGGAGATCTGCTCCTGTAGACTGCAGCCTTGGAAACCCTATGGGACAGGTCTACTCTGTCCTACAGAGTTGCTATGAGTCAAAATCAATTCAAAGGCACACACCAACTGAGTCTTAGTTTTACCATCTGTGAAATGAAAATAATGACTCATGCCCCATCTACTACCCAGGATCATCATTAGAACGACTGCATCCAACAACCTCCAAATCTACCAACCTTTGTGCAGCTGTCCCTGCTTCTCCAATCCCTGCACCTTTTGGATTGTCCCTTTTGCTTGCTCAGGCAAGGATTCCTTTCCTGAACATATCATTCCTCTTTCCTGTATCATCCAAATTTCCCTCTCTTCTGGATCATTGCCCCTTAGCAAACACACATGCCCTAGTATATCCAATCTTAAAATAAATATACAAAACGTTCCCTTGACTCAATTCCACCCTCAATTATAAATCCATATTCCCTTTCATAGCAAAATCCCACAAAAGAGTTGACCATACTCCATGTCATCATCTCCTTTTCTCCCATTGTCCTGTCAGCAAGTCTCATTCAGGATTTTGTCATCATTCCACCCAAATGGATCTTATAAAAGTCATGAACAAATCTGCACCTTGTTAAATCATTTCTCAGTGTTCATCTCAGGAAACTTCCCATTAGCATTAGACCCATTAATTCCTCCCTCCTTCCTGAAACAGTACAATCGCACTCTATTGGTGTCCTTCCTATCTCATTGTCTTCCCCCTCTCCGCTCCTTTTTGGCTCCTCCTTCTCTTCATATTCTAAATTGAGGAGTACCCAGAACTGAGTCCTCTTTCTTCATTACTTCATCATACTTTCCCATGACTTCAAACACCTGATATACTTCAAATATACTGATGTCTTCAGCTCTGGTGTGAGTTTCCACTCATTGATAAACTTAACTAATCAACAGTTCCACTAGAACTCAATAGAATTCAACAGAATATCAGAATAATTTGATATTCAACAGAATATCAGATTCAACAGAATCCTTGACTTAACCCCAAATGTGCTTTCTTCATCTTAGTTAGAATTCCTCATCTTAGTTAATGACACCATTATTTGTCCAATATCCACTTGGACAAGGATGAAGCAGAGAGGTAGTGAGAAGTAGTCAATCTGGGATATATTTTAAAGGTAGTTCCATTACTACTTGTATATAGATTGTCTGTGGGAAGTAAGTGAACAAATGGGAGACACAATCACAAAGCAAGATAAATAAGTAGAATTTTTTGTAAAAATGTAACAATAAAAATGAACCATTATAGAGGAATAAGAAGGGTTAGGGTTGTCTACCATTTAGGAGGGTTGCAATTAACTAATTCAAATACATTATAAAATTATTTTATATAGCTGGACCTGGTGAGCTGGATTAAATCTGAGCTTGCGGTGGTTTGTTGTTGCTGTTGTTATCCTAAACTTTCCTAGAAGGTTACTTAATTGAGAGGCAAGTAAAAGGGAAAACTCAGCAATATAACATCATCTAATACTTCTCTGGGGTTGAACTGGCAACGCCCATTGGACAGAGCAGTAAACCAGGACACAAGGCACAAAAGCAATTCAGGATTTTTAACAGGCTATTGGGTCTGACATTGATGTCAGACACACCTCTGTGTCTCTCCCTCTATGATCTTGGCCAAGTGTCTGTTTTCCACTGTCTCCATTCTCTCTAAAATGAGGATTAAAAATACCAACCCCTTCAAAATTGCAGTTGATTTAAGTATATTTTAAGATAGAACTTAATATGATTACTGTTGACCAGAAGCTCTGGCGGCGTAGTGCCTAAATTTGACTGCTAACCAGAAGGCTGGCGGTTCAAACTCACCAGCCACTCCTGGAAAGAAGGTTGGGCAATCTACTTCCACAGTGATACTGCCTGGGAAACCCAAGGAGGGGTCTTTATGAGTCAAAATCCACTGAGGGCAGTAAGTTAGTTTGAAAGGGCGATGGATATGCAGATCTGTGAGTCAAAGTTAGCAGATATAATTAGGTGACAATTCCCCTACTATAGAGACCACCATCACAGGCTAAATCAAAGGATCAAAAATTAAAGCATGGCCCTAGTGAAGTTAAAGGCTTTATTGGACAGAGAGCTTTTAATCTGCTGGAAGAGCTAGTTTGGATGGTGCAGAGACAATGGAGCAAACAACCCTGTAGTTGCATTTGACTTTGGGCTACATTTTCCCACACTCACTTCCCCCTCAAATGATAAAGGCAGAGATGACTTAAGGCTGTACTGCAAACCTTAAACACTTATATGACACACAACGTCTTTGGAAGTTCCTCCTTTTTAAAGTATTCTGAATTATTTTCAGTCCATCAGGTTAAAATGGTAATTTACATCTTACTAAACTCTCCTCCAAATTACATTAGTCAAGTGATTTAAGCACAGCTGGATCAACAAGTCTTTCTAGGTGAAAATAAGATTTTTGAAAAGTGCCCTGAACTCCTTGGTTGACAGGCCTTACTTGGGGAAGAAATATGGCATTTTAACTTCTGCTAGGGACCATCTACAATACTTTTAATGGATGTAGACCCCACTGGGGAGAGTGCTAGTTGTCAATTGCAGTCCCATCTTATTCTGGGCAATTTTTACCACTAATACGCACTACACGGGTTTTCACAATCCCCCCTATTTTTAGACAGGTTCCGCCCACCCTACCTTGGGTTCACCCAGCTGCGATGCAGAGTCAAAAAAAAAAGAAAAACAAGGAAGTTGTGTTCTTCCTCGGGAGACTTCCCGGTCGCGCCCATGGTCAGGCCACAGAGCCGGCAGCGGCCAACCCGGGAGCTCCTAGTAACCGCAGGCCGCCCCGGCCCCCAGGGCGGCGGGGCAGCTGCCGGCGCGGAGGGGTCGGGACGCACGGGACGCGCTGCCGCCCGGCGCCCCTACCTCCACGCGCGCGGTCGCTTGTCGCTAGCTCCTCTCCCTGCCGTTGTCCTTCCTTCTGGGCGCCGGGGGCAGGGACACCCCGGCCCGGCCCGAGGCCACCGCCGAGTCCGCGTACCTGCTCGGCGCCAGCCGCCTCGGCGTCCTCGTCCGGCGCGGGGCTGGCGCAGGGCCGCCCGCCGACTCGCTCCGGGGACTGCGCGGGCTGCCCGGGTTCCTGCCCCGGGCCCTCGCCACCGACCGGCCCCGGCTCCTCGGACTCGGGCTCCGAGTCCGTCTGCCAGGTGGAGTCGCAGTCCTCCACGGTGGTGGGCTCGCGGAAGCTGACCCCGCCGAGCAGGTTGCCCATTGAAGAGGCGGCAGCGGGCGCGGGGCTAAGGGGCTAAGGGGCACGGGCTGCGGCAGGCGCGCTAGGGCCCGGGCATGGCCGCGGCGAGGGCGCTGGGCGGCTGCCTCGGCGCGCCCGCCGCCGCACTGCCTCAGCGCGGCGAGCGACAGACAGGCACACTCGCGGGGAGGAGCTGGCAGCCCCGGGACCGCCGCCGCAAACGCTTGAACCCGCCCATCTGGTTCCTTCGTTTCCCCACCGGCGGCAGCCGGCGCGTCTCTGGAGCCCGGGGGGCGCGGCGTCCACCCCGGGCCTGAGCGCCTGGCCCCCCAACCCCCGGGGACGCGCCTTGCTTTCCACTTTTCACCCGGGAAGGCCTGCCCTCGCTCGGCCCTGTGGCATCTTTTGGGGTGGATCAGAACCTGCTGTCCTCCCCCAGGGGCCCTGGGCGACCGGCCTAAGGCACCTTCCAGCTGAACCGAAAAGGTGATCCGGCCCAGCTCTAGGAGCAGCAGATTGGTGTGGACGTGATGTTGGAGGAGGTGTTAACCATCATCAGGCGCGCCCTGTACACACACACACACACACACACACACACACACACCCCTAGGCTCCTCTAGGCGGAATATAAATTACTTGCACAGAAGACAAAACTAATGGTGATCAGGCACCATATAAACAAGAACTGTAGCTAGGGCAGCGAGCTAGGGTCCCTGTGGTCTAGATAAAGTCAAAGCTATCTGTCACTTCATCTAATGAGCAAATGTCTCTTGAAACAAGAACTCTACCAACTGGTCTTTCGTGAATTGTCCTGTGGAGAGTTTTACTAACGCTCACTGCAGATCGGTGCTCTGAGTAGAAAAAAAACTCAAAACCCTTGGCCCTTTGGCCTGTTCTATAAATGAAAGGGGTAGTGGTGGTGGGAGGGGTTACATGTGTCATAGAAGTACTAATGGATAAAATAATATGATCAAATAAATGACCTGGAGAAAAGTGATTGTGGAAAATATGTGTTATGACCTCCTAACTAGAGGAAAATCCCCCAGAGGGCAGCTACTTCTGTGTATATTCAGCTGCACAGGCTCAGGGCCTGGAAAAAGCAGGAACTTGGTAGGTACTCAGTAAATATTTGTTGAATATGGAATAAGAAAATGGATAAGATATATAATATTAAATTGTTGTACTTGGTGGGAAGGCAGGTGGTCTTATTTTAGGGGAAGCATCAGGTGGACAGAAAGCTCATTCTTCAGGTAAGTCAGGATTGACTCTCTTCAAGCTTTGAAGCAGGAGATCTGGGTTAATCAGCTTCTGATCTTGGGCAGGTCACAGAGAGACTTTAAACTTAAATTTATGCAACTGTAAATTGGGACCGGGGTTTGATCTCTGGAGTCTCTTCCAGCTTTGACCATCCATGGCTTCATGCTGGGAAAATCTCTAACTAAACTACATATTAGACACAGGACACACAGAAAGACTCTTTGGCCATAATGGCACAGTGAAGAAAAAAATGAGGCAGCACCAAAACTCATGAATCCAGCTGCTCAGAGATAGAGATTTGGATTCATCTTCTACCAGCAGAGGACCAGAAAACTTCAAAGAAAAAATGCTGTCCATCCAGCCATAACCATTGTAGAACTCGTCACAGTCTGGGGACAGTTGGTAGGGATACTTGCCTCTGTTGCTTCATCAGTAGCTCTAGATACATGTGGATTAAAGTTGACAGCACATTCTGTGTTCTCCTTCCATTGAGAGGTGCAGTCTAATTCCTTACCTCTTGAATGAGTAGCCTCAATGGCTCACTTGAAAAATGGGATATGGAGGAAATGATATTCTGGAAATTTTAAGAATAAGCCAGAAGAGACCTTGCAGCTTCTATATGCATCTCTTAAAACATAGTGTCCAATAGCCCTGAGCTACCACGTAACAAGTCCAACTACCTTGAGACTTACATTCTGGAGTGACCTATTCCAACTGAGCCCAGCCTTCCAGCATCCCCTGTTGGATCCTGCTGGTTTGTATTGGATGAATAACTCTCAGTGATCTCCACTGATGACATGTGGAACAAAAGAACCATACAGCAGAGCCCTGATCAAATTTTTGACCCAGAAAATCAAAAGATATTATGAAATAGTGGTTGTTTGTTTGTTAGTTTGTTATGCAGCAATAATACTGAAACATTGGGAAGCACGTGTATAAGTCTATATGTTTTTCTGCATATAAATATGTGAGTTAACTTTTACAATTAAACTCTTTCCTTTTCAAAAATTTTTGGCAAAAGTATCATTTTATCATTTTTCCTTTTTTTGAAATAGAGCTTTGGATGATGTACCAATTTGTGAAATATATTTGCTGAGAAACATAATTTTATGTGATGTATTACAAAATCCTCAAATAATAAAAATTGTAAGTTTAAAGCAATAAATTCAATCACTATGCATCCATTCTATAGATTTAAGAAAGTTAACTGAAGGGGTCTTTCCTCTCTGTATTTTGTATGCAGAAATTATCCCACATGAAAAGGTCAACTATTTCATTATCCCTACCTTTGACACTAGACGTCCCTGGGAGATGCAAATGATTAAGTGGTCAGCAACGAACCGAAAGGTTTGTTTCAATCCACCTAGAGACACCTCAGAAGAAAGCTATGGTATTCTTCTAAAAAACCCACAGCCATTGAAAATCTTATGGAGTACAATTCTACTCTGAAGCACATGGGGTTAGAATTGCCTCAATAGCAGCTGGTTTTTACCTTTGAGAATATTTAACATTCCTTCATAGAAAGTAACGAAGCATGTCTTTGCTTTATATTAAAAAAAAAAAAAATCGTCACATGGCCTAGTGCCTGGCACATATTTATTATCAGTATATGTTAGCTCTAATTATTATTCATCAAATATATCCATGAAGAGCACTAAACTCAAAAATAATATAAATATATGTAGAACAAGGAGATACTACCAATAATATCTATACCTGGCCAATAATAAACTATACATTTTATTATCTAGCATCAGCCACAAATTATACAGATATTATAGCACTGCTCCAATGTAACCCTGATTTCAACCTTGTCATGCAATCCTTTAATGGTGAGACCACTTGAACAAGGAGCTGGCATTTCAGGAAGTAAACTTTTTTGGATAGCGATCAAGGTGCAATTGGTATATCTTGCTTGACTTGTTTTTTATAGTGAAGTATGCTTTAGGGACATTAACAAAGTTTGTTGTTATTTAATTTCCTTTGGGAACGTTTGAAATAAAAGGAAAGGGTAGATCAAATGGATTTTACCTAGCCTCAGGAATTAACTTTTTGGTAATGCCCAGAAACCTACGTTCTATGGAGGGGGGAAAAATTATAAAACATTTTAAAAGAATAAAGATAGTACCCTAATGTAACATCTTAATAATAATAATGTACTGTAATAGTCCTTTACACTGAATGTACCCAGGGCATCTGCTAACACCGGTGGGGCCTCCCACTGGCTTGAGAGGCCTGTATACCCTCATGTGTAGTTTGTGCCTAGCTGGAAATTTCCCAGGATCTCCATCTTCTAGGAGAGGAGTTTGTATATGTGTTTTAATTTATGAAGATAATAGGGTTTTGTCTTTTCACTCCTTCCTCCATGTAAATGTTTGACACTTTTCTTCTTGTATGATTCTGAGATGTTAACTCCTGCCTCCACCTCCCAAGTCCACCTCCCTAGTCCCCCATCCTCCTCCCACCAACACCACCATAGTCCTTCATACACAAATCTAAGCTTTCTCCCTCCTTGGACAATGCTGTTGTACAATCCATTTTTTGTTCCTGCTTCTTCCTTTAATGTTTCAAGGCTTAATTGCAAAAGTATCTCTATTATCCATTACCTCTTCCTTCAAATTCTCTTTTCTTATTTAGCCCAAAGAAGACACCTACAATTTAAGCAATTTCCATATACCAGAACCAAAGTTCCCAAGGTTTCTTTAAATGAGATGAAGAAATAAATACATGTACATTTACAAGTATTTGTTGCATAATGTCTGGTTGGGCAATGTCCGAGTGCGTATGTCCATGGTCCTATAAAGTTTTTATTTATTTTTTAAAGGAGGGGTGGGG